ATACCTAGACTTGATACGGTCTCGCATGATGTTTTTATCAATAAACTAGGCAAATATAACTTAGATGGGACTACTATAAGGTGGGTGCATAACTGGCTGGATAACCATACTCAGAGAGTAGTTATTTATGGTTCTCAATCCTGCTGGAAAGGTATTACAAGTGGGGTTCCGCAGGGGTTTGTTTTGAGACCGGCTATGTTCAATATCTTCATCAACGATTTAGATATTGGTATAGAGAGTACGCTTATTAAGTTTGCAGATGATACCAAACTGGGAGGGGTTGCGACTGCTTTGGAGGATAGGGTCATAATTCAAAATGATTGGACAAATTGGAGAAATGGTCAGAGGTAAACAGGAAGAAGTTTAATAAAGACAAATGCAAAGTGCTCCACTTAGGAAGAAACAATCAGTTTCACACATACAGAATGGGAAGCGACTGTCTAGGAAGGAGTACGGCAGAAAGGGATCTAGGGGTTATAGTGGACCACAAGCTAAATATGAGTCAACAGTGTGATGCTGTTGCAAAAAAAGCAAACATGATTCTAGGATGCATTAACAGATATGTTGTGAGCAAGACACGAGAAGTCATTCTTCTGCTCTATTCTGCGCTGGTTAGACCTCAGTTGGAGTACTGTGTCCAGTTCTGGGCACCACATTTCAAGAAAGATGTGGAGAAATTGGAGAGGGTCCAGAGAAGAGCAACAAAAATGATTAAAGATCTAGGGAACATGACCTATGAAGGAAGCCTGAAAGAATTGGGTTTGTTTAGTTTGGAAAAGAGAAGATTGAGGGGGGACATGATAACAGTTTTCAGGTATCTAAAAGGGTGTCATAAGGAGGAGGGAGAAAACTTCTTCATCTTGGCGTCTGAGGATAGAACAAGAAGCAATGGGAGCAAGGGAGGTTTAGGTTGGACGTTAGGAAAAAGTTCCTAACTGTCAGGGTAGTCAAACACTGGAATAAATTGCCCAGGAAGGTTGTGGAATCTCCATCTGTGGAGATATTTAAGAGTAGGTTGGATAAATGTCTCTCAAGGATGGTCTAGACAGTACTTGGTCCTACCCATGAGAGCAGGGGACTGGACTCAATGACCTCTGGAGGTCCCTTTCAGTCCTAGTATTCTATGATTCTATGAAAAGGAAACAGTTTCACAGATGAAAGAAGTGCTGCATTAGCAGGGGGGCTGACAGAATTGCTGAGCCCCTGGGCCAGGTGTGTGTGTGGGGGGGGAGAGGCTGTGGCGGTGCTGCACTTCCAGAAGAGGCAGGGCATTTGGTGGAAGGGGCGCGGATTAGGCTAGCTGTCCCCCTTCCCAGCTCTTCAGAACCACCCAAAGCATACTGTGCAGGGCTCTGGTTGTGATTTAAAAGGCTCAGGACTCTGGCTGCTGCCCCAGTAGCAGCAGCAGCAGCTTGGAGCCCCAGGCCCTTTCAGATAGCCCAGCCCTGAGGCCACTGCTCCCTTCCTTCTCCCTATTCCTCCGTGAGCTTATTCATGAGGCATCAAATTGTTACTGAACATTTTGGGACTGGTGGAGTTAATCAACCTGCGCCTAAAAATCAGACCAAATTATCAGCCTCTAATAATTACTGGACTTGGCTTCATGATCTGCCACCGTTTTGAGCAAGAGACACAGTTATGACTATTCTTAGATACTACCTCTTTGTCATCCAGTTGAGGAAGTGGTCCCTTAAAGTAGTTTTCAATGCGGTTACCAATTACCATCATGACCTAAAACTGTGCAGGAATGGAAGCAGAGCAGTTGCCACATTAACAGTAAAAAAATGCTCTTTCAGCACTCCTTTCCCTGTCACCTCCACCCCAAAGACCCAAAGGGCAGCAGCAAGACAAAGGAAGTGTGGGAATACACAAATTGTGACAGAGATGACGGAGGTAGATACTACAGTGATAGGCGCACCACAAATACTGAGGCTAGTTTGCAAATGGTGTCATCTCTCTATGAATGGTCCAGGCTGATCTATGAACAAATGACAGACGGCAAGCATCAATACAATCAGTTGTTGCTGGGTGGACATAATTGACACATCTGAGAGAGGCATGTTGTTGCCATGAATTTTTTTTAAATAGGGTGATGAGAATCTGCTAATTTTACCATCCTTGAATAGCAGGAAACAAGGAGACTCTACTCAGCTCTTTTCACAGAGATTAGAATTCCAGTCCGGAAAGATGCAGTCAGTCAACTGAAATCTGCCATCAGTTCCTTACAGAGGGCCAGCCAATGGAGCATTAAGTTTGCACAGGGAGAGACTTAGTTCAGACAGAATCAGTCAATTTCTAGAGGGATGTTTCATTAAGGGATTCATGGGAGGGTTTAATAAATCGTGACCAAGAAAGGGCAAATAAAAAGGTCCATTACGCTGCCCCACTGCTTGTGACGCAGATATCAAAGCTCTTCCCTGCAAGGGGACAGGGAAGGGCTCCAAATATTACACTGTTTTTGACTCAGTAGTAATATTTAAAAAAATTAGAGATGACTGTGTGAAATACAATAAGATTCTTTAGCATGTTTTACAAGATATTGCTGAACCTTGCAGCGGTGGAGGCTGCTGAGTGACAGAGGTATCTATCTGTAAGGTATCTACCTGCTATTCACACTGCTTGCAGCTCAGCTTAGGTGATTTCATAATTAAGTGATCATCTCTGTTTTGTTCCAAGTAAAAAAGGAAAGAAAAATAAAACAGCTCCATTGTGCTGAATAAATGCAAAGGTGTTTACATGCCACATGACAGCAATTTCTCAGAGAATAATCAGAGTTGCCACTGCTTTTCCCTTTTCCTCCTCACCACATTGTTTCCACATTTAATGGAACATCACTAACAACTTCCCTCGGCTTCCTGCATCTGCTTAGAGAGGCAGGTGAAGGTCCCCCGACTTAGTTATATATTGTGAGTGGCTGACGTGTCAGATGCGTGCGAGCACTTCTGCGAGAGCTTTGGAGAAAGAATAAACTGTGGGCGTCTTTCTAAAAAGAGTATTGTCACGCTAAATTAGCCTGGGTCTGTAGCAGCGTCTGCCTTGAATCATCAGTGGATACACTCAAGGGTGATACAGCAATCTGTTTAATTCAGACAGGTTGAATACTCAATGGAAAATCCTGTGTATTTCCAAGTTCTGAGCCTGCTATTAATGGTGGCCCGCTCATGAAGCAGTTACAGACCAGAACACTGAACTGGGAGCTAAGAATTTCTTTCATGAGAGTACAAGGCATTGGGCATCTTGCATAATGGGACACCAATATCATGTACTTCAGCTTGTTAGGATGTCCAGTGACCTGCCACTCACCTCCTCACCCACCTACCCATTGCTCACTTCCCCATTAGTCTACTCACTGTCCATTTGGCACCTCAACTCCCCGTCTGTCACTGTCCTCTTTACTGTCCACCTGCCTGCCTCTTTAATCTCCCTCCCACCACTCACCTCCCTATTTGCTTCCTTATCCCACTCACCTGCCCACCTCTTGCCACACCTTCCTGTCTGCCTCCTCACCTGAATATTGGGACAAATGGCATCCCCAGCGTACATCAGTTGGGACAAAGGAATAAATATTTGGGGATAGTCCTGATTTATCAAAGCAGGGGCCCCGCAAAGCATGGGGACTGGGGCAGTCACCATGATTAACCCTACCCATGAGATGCTCTGCATGCAACCTGGCCACGGCCAAACCATGCTACAATGGCATACGTATCAGACCAAAGCTTGGGGTAGAGCACAGGAGAGTTTAGTCTCTTTTCTTCATTCCAGTCACCCTGCAGACTAAGCAGAACTTCCCAAACCAAAAACCAACCAAAAAAAACCAAACCCAGAGACAGAACCATTTTTTGGCAGTTTTACATCTCTTTTACGTGACAAGCATCTCAGAATCTTTTCGTTTATTTATCCACATAACATCCCTGTGAAGTAAGGAAGAACTATTATGCCCCTTTCACAGACAGGGAATTGAGAGCCTCAAAGTGACTTGCCCCTGGTCACACAGGAAGTCCGGTCAGAGCAGGGATTTGAACACAGAGGTTCCCAACTCCTAGACTAGTGTCCTGATCACTGATTTCTCAAAACTAGCAACATTATTTGCCCAAATTAAAAGATAACAAAAGGGAACTTTTAAAAAGGGTCAATGTAAGGGGCTCAAGCCAAGATAACCAGAAAAATAAGTTACTAGCATTGCTGATTATGTGATTTCAGCCCAACAAAAGCTCCATTTGGAAATACCATTCCATTTCTATGCTTCCTCTCTGCAGATATGGAATTCTTCAATGTTATTTCTACCCGCAAAAAAATCAGCGCCCCCATCTGGTATGTCAACAGAGCAAAGACAAATCCACAGCCGGCCAGCCCATTGGGAGGTCAGAACATTCTTTTTCTTGGGACTGTTTCACTGTTGTATAGACTCTTGGATCTGGACCAGAGACTGTGTTCCCGGACACTGTGCAGTGGGAGAGACCCAGAGCTTGGGCTCCAGCCTGAGCCCAGAAATGAAATAACTCCATAGTCTGAACTCTGTGAGCCCACCCTGGCTGGCACAAGATAACATTAGGTTTTGACTACTAAGGCTTCAGTGTGCCAGGATTTCATCCTAGCATTTAACTAGCAGTACAATTCTTTCATGGGAAATTTCAGTTTGAAATAATATGCTTCAGCATCTAAAAGAGATCAGAATCCCAATATTACGTGTTATTTGTATTACTGTAGCTCATAGGAGCCTGAGTCATGAAGCATGGCCCCATTATGGAAAGTGCTGTACAAAACCACACACAATTACTTCTGGATGCAAGATACCTATGGCAGCTATGAGCCAGATTAGTTTTGGATAATGACCTTTGCAAATTTTTCTTTAGCTAAGAGAAGTGATCTTCTCTCCTGCAATGCTGAATACTAATCATCTAGAGAAGGTGGTTAATTGAAGAATGTGTATTGGGGTTGTCATGGAGACAAATTCTTTATTACAAACTTATTAAAATTCAGACGTAAGGGGCAAACCTTACCTTTTCATGGTTTTCTATTAAAATCTCAATCACAATATTCTGAAACTTGATGTCCATAATCGCTGCAACAGTTTCTTCTTGAGGTCGAAGCAGTGTTGGTCCAAATACCACCCCCAGATTAGCAACAGTCATTAGATTCTGCTTGTGATTAGCAGCAACACTGCAAGGAAAGAGAAAGAGGAGT